CCCTTTCCCTTTGGTAACTGTTAGTCCATTCTTGGGTTCTGTGAGTCTGTTGCTGTTTTGTTCCTTCAGTTTTTTCTTTGTTCTTATACTCCACAGATGAGTGAAATCATTTGATACTTGTCTTTTTCTGCTTGGCTTATTTCACTGAGCAAAAATCCTCTAGCTCCATTCATGTTGTTGAAAATGGTAGGATTTTTCTTCTTATGGCTGAATAATATTCCATTGTGTATATATACCACATCTTCTTTATCCATTCATCTACTGATGGACACTTAGGTTGCTTCCATTTCTTGGCTATTGTAAATAGTGCTGCAATAAACATAGGGGCGCATCTGTCTTTTTTCAAACTGGGCTGCTGCATTCTTAGGGTAAATTCCTAGGAGTGGAATTCATGGGTCAAATGGTATTTCTATTTTAAGTTTTTTGAGGAACCTTAATACTGCTTTCCACAATTGTTGAACTAATTTATATTCCCACCAGTGGTGTAGGAGGGTTCCCCTTTCTCCACAACCTCGCCAACATTTGTTGTTGTTTGTCTTTTGGCTGGTGGCGATTCTTACAGGTGTGAGGTGATATCTCATTGTGGTTTTGATTTGCATTTCTCTGATGATTAGAGATGTGGAGCATCTTTTCATGTGTCTGTTGGCCATTTGAATTTATTCTTTGGAGAAGTGTTGTTGAGATCCTGTGCCCATTTTTTTATTGGACTATTTGCTTTTTGTTTGTTGAGGTGTATAAGCTCTTTATGTATTTTGGATGTCAACCCTTTATTGGATCTGTCATTTATGAATATATTCTCCCATACTGTAGGATGCCTTTTTTTCTCTATTGATGGTGTCCTTTGCTGTACAGAAGCTTTTTAGCTTGATATAGTCCCACTTGTTCATTTTTGCTTTTGTTTCCCTTGCCTGGGGTAATATGTTCATGAAGAAGTTGCTCATGTTTATGTCCAGGAGATTTTTGCCTTTGTTTTTTTCTAAGAGTTTTATGGTTTCATAGCTTACATTCAGGTCTTTGATCCATTTCAAATTTACTTTTGTGTATGGGGTTAGACAATGATCCAGTTTCATTCTCTTACATGTAGCTGTCCAGTTTTGCCTCTTCTATTGAAGAGGCTGTCCTTTCCCCATTGTAATGGCTCCTTTATCATATATTAATTGACCATATATGTTTGGGTTAATATCTGGACTCTCTATTCTGTTCCACTGGTTTGTGGGTCTGTTCTTGTACATGGGTTTTTGTCATGAAAGAGGGGAGGTCAATTTAGAGTTGCTGTCTCTCAGAAAACTGTCCTTGTGGATTTGAACTTTATTCTCCTTGGGAGAGGACCATGAGTGAAACAGCAAGAGGAAGTATAAGCAAAGGAGGAAAGGGCTACTTCACACACAGCCTCAGTGAGGAGAAGGGAGCAAGGATAGCCCTGTTCTAGGACTCATCTGCCTGAGCGTGGTGTGGACATGAAGAGATGCTCCCCTCCGCGCTCTGAGCTTGGCAAGACTGCCCTCCATCTCACAGGGTGGCTGGAAGCTTGGCCACTGATTGGTGAGACTGACATGGGGGCTCGTGTGACCACCTGTGTCAGACAGAGGCATGGTGGCAGAAGTAGGGGCAGTGGTGGGAGTTGAGGACATTCATTTCTAAGCATGTTAGTGATAGCTCCAGGGTTCACAGAAGAAAATAGGGAGACTTTCAGGGAGTGATCTGAGATATTAGAGTTAAAAACACTTCCAATCGACTGGGCCTATCTGAAAAGAGAAATGCATAGGACCAGTTCGTAGAGAAAATCTGAATCGGAGAAACAGATCAGATACATTTTGAAGAATGCAGCAGTACCTCCTGGCAGTTTGAAATACCCGCCTGATACTTCTCAGTTCAAGGTGGTGTTTATATTACAACCATCAGGATAACATCATTTTAGGTTTATCCCTTGAGTAAACTACCCAAAGATGTGCCTAGAGGGATCATTCTGTTTTCCTTGGCCTTCAGATTAGATGTTTTTAAAAAAATTCATAGAAGACCCTGGTTTTAAATAAAACATCACCCTGTAGATATCTAATTAGTGTGTTCATAGTCCATTAATGATTCATAGTTTCTTACTGTTTGCAGAACTGCTGGTAATATTCACTATATCTGAAACAAAAACAGCTCTAAAGGTTAGGTTAACAATTAATTGTTTCAACAAACTGGTATGTATTTGAGAGTATAAAATGGTATGCATCTTATTTGGGGTTTTCAAAGGATGCAGCAAAGAAGTGTGAGATATGTTCATACCCTCAAAGAATTGAGAATTAGCTGCATACCTGAACAATGGTGGCACATAATAGAGTGCCATGAAGTAGGTACTCACTATACAGGTAGGTTAGAAAGGATAATTCATGTGAAAATCTCTGGGGGTGGTAGGCACTCCCTACCTCACTGAACTCAGTGCCTACCCAGTCAAAAGTGATTCATGCACACTAGTTTGATTTTTTCCTGCTTTCCAAAGCAGGAAATTATACATACTTCATGAAAAGTGTAACAGAAGGTTTCTCGGAAGAAGAAAAGAGGTGAGATTGCTGAGATTTATAATGGTCAAACAAAACTTCAAAGAGGAGGTGGAATATGGGCAGAGTGTGGGAGGGTGGGATTTGAAGCAGAATGAAGGGGCTGTTTGAGGTGAGAATTGAGGTCAAAGCCCATGGAGTGACAGAATAATTCATAGTGTAGCCTATTGAAGTGGACTGTTGATATTTAAGGCTGGGCTACATTATAGGGGGTTTTGAGAGCCAGGCAGTAAGGGAGAAAGGTTTTTATAATAAGATAGTGATATGAGGACTATGGCTGCCCAGGGAGATACAGGCAGAGAGTTCAGTTTTGATAGGATGCTAGCTAAGGGCAGATCAAGGTTGAAATTGATGTGAGGGTGTAGGGAGATGTCTATGAGGTTTTGAGGGTGTCGAGTGGATAGGACTTGTGACTGGCAGTGGGGTAGAGAAGATGAGGAAAAAGAGGTACCTCAGATAGTTCCAGTTTGAAGGCCAAAGGAAAATGGATTTGTGAGCTGAAATGGGAATGCTAGGAGGAATAACCAACCTCAAGGGCGAAATCATGAATTTGATTTTGTATGTTGAAACTTTTGAAGTGAGGGATACTTTCATAGAAATGTCTAGGAGGTAGTCAGGGCCAAAGAACTAATACTGCTCTCACTGAGGTCTCTAATTGTCTATGATAAACCCCTTTTGTTAGGGCCCTCCAGCTTGCTTTTTCATAGTCACAAGTTCTTTCTGCTAGGTAGATTTTTGAACAGAGAAGGAGAGTAACACGGGCTGACTGGGCTGCTTTGACTAGACAGCGCAAGGCTGGAGGCAGGGTGTGGGTAAGAGGCTGCTGCGGCCATAATGTGTGTGATGGAGAACGGTGGCCTAGACTAATGTGGGGTTGCCAGGTAGAGATGTAGGCAGCTTTAGGAGACCACTCTTGAACATGTAGAAGGTACACATGTAAATTTGGGGATTGGTCATAAAGTGGGATACAATCACTGACAGCTCCCATCTTTCTAGGCAGTTGGTTGGATGGAGAATTCTAGAGGAGAAACAGGTCTGTCAGGTAGATGATGGAGGATTAAGCTTTGGACAAATTGTGTTTGAGGGGTACCAAGTATTTGTTCAGTGGCTGATCAGTTTTAGTGGTTGCAGGCTCAAGAGACACAGGTGGAGTGGAGCTATGGTTCGGCACCATATGAAATATCTTGAAGCCTTGAGTGAAAGTGGTTCTCTCAGGGAAACATGTGGAAGCGCTAAAACAAGGAGCCCTGGGCAGTGACAGTGTTAGGTTTGGCAAGAGCAAAAGGCAGAAAACCGCTGGAAATGAGTTGAAAGTGAGCATTAAGGAACTAGTTGAAAATTCCTGAGAGGATAAGGTACATAAAGATGAAAAAATGTGGCAGCCTTTGCCAAGCAGTTACATTGAGCATGATGAAAATAGAATCTCCTTTCTCAGTATATTTGGTGATGCAAACCAGTGATTTAAAACTGGTAAGTAGTGGATGATTGTCATTTAGTTTTGCTAAAATTTTATCTTCCCAATTCAGTTGGAATAATTTTATTAAAAGTGCCTTAAGGTACAGGATATATGTTTGAATTTCTTTTAGAGAATTGCCTACTTACATCAGATCCAATTAAGTTTTGCATATGCTATCAGTATCATTAAATGCAACCAAGTGTGGTGTTAAGTAAAATGAGAAAAGTTATTTTAGTAAGAAGTAACTTGTATTTAGTATATTGAGCTAGTAAACATAGCAAATGTAGGTCTTAAGAATAACATCTATAAAATTTTGCATTTATATAGTATATTGTGAGATTATTATTTTAAAATTTGTTATTAGGAGGGTCACAGTAAGTAAGTCCAAAACAGCAGGAACTTGTATCACCAAGTTAAAAACACCAGGAACTCATGATTTTAAAAGTCATATAATCATGAAATAAATAAAACTTGTTTTTTTTAAAGTCTATCTGAGAAGTACAACGTTCTTGGAAAGGTTTTGTGGAAATAAAAATGTTGTTGTAATAATTTTGTGTTCTCTATCCTGCTTGTCAATAAAATAAATTTTAAAAGTTAAAAAAAAAACCCCAGCAACCCAACAACCCAGGATATCTTAAAAACAAAGACTAAGCTAACCAATCACAGAACAAAAAACACACACTCTAAACTAGCCCTCGATTGCTAGGATTCAGTGAGTGTAGGAGAGTGTTCTAGTCTCCATGCTGTGGTTAGCTGCCTTCTTATCTGTAAAATGTGTTTGGAATGGGCAGCTGGGGCATTGAAATAGGTGGTTTATAAGTTTATTTTTCTTCTGTCTAGTGTCCAAGGGATATGACTCTGATTGGTTTTCTAATCTCTACTCAGTTCATTGAAGTGGAGTTTGGCATTGATTTTTTTACATGGCATGATTTAGAAATAGATATCCTTAGGATACTAGCTGAACAGTTATAAACCTAGAATTTTTATGTTTAACATTTTAGGTATGCAATACCCCCGGAGCATGGGAAACGACTTGAAAGACTAGCTCAAGGTAAACTTACTTTCTGTATTTCTCATCTAGGTGGGATTTTGTTTTTCAGGTATTTTTATTGTGTAGAATGTCATTGTTAATTTTAGTCTTTTCAGATTATTGGCTGTTAAATATTTCTCTAAGTGAACAATTCAAAATTTTTTCACATTAATGTGTGAATATTTTCTCCTGTTGTATAATGTTCATGGTTATTTTAGTTGGCTGCTTAGTAGTTAATCAAGTGACTGCACTTAACTTATTTTGGTTATTCCAATTATTTTTCTTTCATATAATGTATTTAACATCATTGTGCCAATAATATTTTTCCTTCTTTTAAGTCACACTTGGAGATAAATGCCAAAGAGTACTGATGCTGTATCTCAGAGTAAAGGTGTTTTATGAGTACTTTTCGTGTTGCTTGTTATTTCACCGACTGGTGTGTTAAATCTTCTGGCTACCAGTTCTTGAGTAGCCTTTGGGCCGGGATTGCCCTTATGGAAGTAGAAGGTGAATGTCTCCAGGTAACTGGATAAGCATGAGTTTGTATGCTTTCTTAGACTGGCAAAATTAAACATACTTCACTGGAACTTAAAATTTTATTTTTTATGGCTTTATCCATCTTCATAAGGCCAGACTGAAGAATTCTTTGGGAACTCTATTGATTGTTTCACTCTGTGCTACCTGAAGAGAGTACCTTCCTCTTTTCTTGTCTTACAGATAAACCAGGCAATTTTGCTCCCATCTGCTTGTGCAGAGGAGGAGAATCAGGTTCACCCCCATACCAGTCTCATCTTCTGTTTTACTAGCCACCCTTACCAAGAAAGAAATAGGCTGGTAGTGACTTAGTTCCAGGGGAAAATGGAGTTCCATTTGAGTGACAACTAAGAATAAGATATTCTGCTTTTATCCACAATTGAATTCTCAGTGAGCATTGCCCTTTGAACCGTTGCTGATCTGAGTTTCATTGGTATGTTAGGTTTGCCCTGTGGTAGGAAAGCAAATTTTTCCTCTGCTTTATGTATGCACTCATTTATAGTGAAAAGGGGGCACTGAAAAACCCCTTGCTTTGACTTGACAGTTCTGAATAGAAATTATTAATGGTGTCTAAAAGTTACTTTCCCCCAAATTACAGATGAGTATTAGAAGAAATTATTGTAGCGTCACATTTGTAAGAAGCATTATTATAATATTGGAAGGCTAGTAACTATAAAGCCTTGGTGTTTTTTATAATGTAATACATTATAGTAATAATAGCAATGTAATTGTAGTCTTGAACTCTGTTAAGGACTATTTTCATGAATACTAAGGTGTGTGAATTCTGGTTCTAGATAACAGATTACATCACAGCTTAGAAAATAATTACCATAATGCTTAAATACATAGGCTATGAACTTTGTGCTAAATCTATATGCTGAACTATCCTCTTCTCTGTCATAATTATTCTACCATTTTCTTTGCTACACCACAGAGAACTTCTAAAATGGAGCCAATGTAAACTTTACAGTAGAGAGTCACACACTGAAATTTCTACTATAAACTGTCTGTGAATGTTGATGTAAACTGTCTAAAAATGACACTCCAGGAAAATGGGTGCCATTTGTTTAATCAGTAAGAGGTTAATGAACTTGAAGGATGAACAAGAACTTTAAATTCAGTTGCATGTTTATTCAAAATTGTTTTGCAACGTTATTTTGAGAAATGACACAGGGAAAGACCTTATAAGACAGTGGAGGGTTCCCATCCACCGACTACATGCCAGCCAAATTAATTGAATTCTGCTAAATAATTAAAATGATAAAATAATGCAGTAAATGTGATGGAGCATTATAGGCTGTCTAGGTCAAGGCAGCACTTGATACATAAAATGAAAAGCAGCCTCAGATATTTTCCATTATCTTGTCTGCACATCATAATTATCACACTTGCCTTTTATGCATGAGTGCTTTCATCTTTGGTTTCTATTGAAATCTTGATTGACTGTGGCACCTACAAATATTTTATCTGAAAGACATTAGGCCTGCATCTAATAAAGCCAGGAGTTTGATTTTGCCCTTCAGCTGCTTTCTCATTTATATAGTTTTTTTCCCAATATTATGTAGCCATAAGTGTAATAAAAAATCTCAAGTGAATTGTTGCAGTTTTTATACTTGCTATGTTCACCTATAATGCCATTGCATTCTTTTTAATTTTTGCTTTGATACAATTGAATGGAAAGTATAAAGGCAAATAGAGGTATAATGTTAAATAATGAATGACAATTTTGAACATTTCCAGTTTTTAGAATGTCTAAATCTTGTCTATTTTAGAAACAAGACAATATTTTGCTAGTCTACTAAGTTAAGCAAAATATAGATTAAAGTAAATTGGGAATGGCTACATTTTTTGAAGGACTGTATTCCATTGGTCTCTTACTGTGAATAAAATACTAATATTTAAAAAAAATTCAAGGTGATTTACTTTGATCAAAATTTGGCTACTGGGAAAAGAATATGTGAGTGAGGACTTTGGTGTAGCTGATTTTTGAAGTGTGAATGATCAGTAGAAATCTGGTTTCAACTGACAGTATAGTACAAGTGAAAAAATTGATTCTTTTATCCTTATATTTACTTGTAACAAGTGTTTTAGTTTAGACCTATTTAAAGAACAACATTTCAGCCAAAAAAAGAAGAATCATTATTATGAAAGATTAATTTTGTTCATTTTTTAAAACAAGTATTTTAGGTATGTGTGCAATTTTTTTGTTTTATGACTAGTTATCTTGAGTTGAAGCTTGTTGAGTAGAGAATCTGAACCTGATTTGCAGGGATTGTTCCAAGAGTCGGAGGCAAGGGTCTGTGGGTGGGATGCAATAAGTCTGAGAAATCTGTAGACTCTTCTGAAGTTACATTCAAAATTGGGCATGTATGTTGGTTTCTGGGAAGCCATCATCAAATTTCTTAAAAGGGTTTGGTCCAAAGGGATTATGAACTGTTACTGTAAAAAGAATAGAAGAACTGCAATAAGTAAGTCATTTTAATTTTATATACAGATTCTAAATTTACCTTTTATTATACTTCTTTCTTAGAATTAGGAAAATGTATTTTTTTTCAGTTCTCAAAATGGTAAATACATTGTTCCCTTAAGCATTCATTTATCTGATGGCCTGAAAGTATTATATTAAAATGTCTTGTTTTGAAAGGCTAATAAATAAAATACCTGTGATTATAAATAATCAATCTTAAGGAGCCCCCTAAGCCATAACAAATAAAGAAGTCCAGTGATATATCCTTTGCCTTCATATCTAACTCATGCCTTAGGCATGGAGATGAATGTGTGGTGTGTCAAGGTATGTTTAGCTTCATCTTACCATGAGCTGAGTTGCATTAAGAATGGTGAAACAATGTATTCTAAGCTTAATTTCTTCATAATCTGATGTCCCATATCACTGTTTGGGTTTAAGTGTATTGGAATATTGTATATTCAGCATGATACTAGTAGGATTTTAGACATTGGGCAATAATACATAACTTACACCAAGCGAGTGTAATTGGAATGTGGGGTGAAAGACAATTTTGAGAAGTGACAATTTTGAGAATTTTGAGAGAGAATAGGGAGGAAAAGTTCAGGAAGGGAATGCCAGCTAGTAGGGAAGAATTACTATGGAGGAAAATTAAGAGTTCTTTGATTCTGTGGGGTAGAGGCTGAGCCAGAAAAGTCCTGGGTAGCTTGACTGACCTATTTGAGCCCAGAGTGCTTGGCCAGGGGTGTCCTGGATGACCTATGAGTGTGTGGTCCATGTGTCATATAAAGGCGGAAAAAGCAGGAACTGAAACAAAGTAGTCTCAGGAATTCAGTAAACCCCATATGAAACCACAAATAGCTGTTAAATTGAGTGGAAATTTTAACTCTTAAGTGTTCTTCCAACCAGGTTGAAATGAAAAAACTTGTCCATTATACAGTGCACTGTTTAGGAGATAAAAATGAGGCAGTTATTTAGGAGAACCACCATCCTTCTTGATACAATGATCAGTATAAATTTTTCCTGACACTCCTGAAGTTCTCCGTAGAGCTGAATCTTTCCCAGTAGAGATGTTGATGGATTTAGGGGACACTTAAAGCCTGCAGTGTGATAATTTTCTACCCCATCCTGAGTAATTAATTGCTCCATGAATGATAGGAAGCACAGAGAGGCCAACTATAGCTTAGTACAGTAATGTTGACCTCTTAAGTAGGGATGTTGTTAAAACTATCAGGGTTCGCTCCACATACTGTAAGTTCATCGGTACTTTTCATTAATGAACTTGTTAAGAAATTACACGTGTAAATCAAATTGTTTATTTAAAATGATTTCCCACAGAAGCAATATTCCCTTGTTCTGTGCTCTTTTTCTTACCATTCATTTGTATGGTTGCTGCGTTTTCTTCAGTCTTTAATCAGTCATATGAATATTGCAAAAACCATTATAAAAGCTCTATCAAAGCATACTTGGGTAAATTTCAATTATATTCAAATGTAATTGTCTTAATCAAAATCTATTGCTGATGTGATTACATGTCTACATGTCTGAATTCTCCATCTTTCCTCACTCTTTTCTTCTCTCTGTTCTTCCAAAGTGATTAGTAACTGATTTCAACTTTTCCAAACTAGTGCATTGCAAATGTTACTAAATTTTGGTTTTTAAATCTTTTTCCAAGGGTAAAACTTTGGTAGTTTAATAGCAACAGCATGTGTTTGTGTTTGTCATATGAGACTTGGATTTAAAAAAATTTATAATTACATCTGCTTATTTCTAAAACAATTAAAAATATTTAATTTTTTTGGTGGGGGGACTCAGATTGACTTAGGTAAAATGCAGTTACAGTAAATGTGTCCCCCTTTAAATATATAGTGAGTTTTGATAAATATATACAATGGAGTAACTAACACCATTATCAAGATACAGAACATTTCCAATTTCCTGAAAAAGATTTCTTATGCCTTTTTGTAGTTAATGCCCACCCAGTGGCAACCCAGTGACCAAATGAGTGGCAACCACTAATATG